CTGTTAGGAATCTAGGTGCACGCTAGACAGCTGGATGTCTGAAAGGCATCTCCAAATCCCACGTGTGAAGGGAAGTTACACGAAGGAGGGCTCCCCGCGCAGTGCTCCTCGGTGTGTGGCGCCACGGCAGGCAGGCTTAGCTTTAGCTTCACTCAGCCGGATTTCCCGATGTGCAAGAGGCTGGCTGTGCAGCGGACTCTCCTCCTGGCGCAAGCCCACCACCCAGCCTTGCCAGCTCAGCAGATCCCGGACACACTGAGGATTACCACGCAGAGAGGGGCTGCTGCCCACAAGAGGTGACCTCCTCCCTCCCAGCACTGGGAGCCACACGCTCTGCTGCATGGCGGGGGTCCCGTCTGAGGGCTCCTCCGCAGGGGCTGCTGCCCACAAGAGGTGACCTCCTCCCTCCCAGCACTGGGAGCCACACGCTCTGCTGCATGGCGGGGGTCCCGTCTGAGGGCTCCTCCGCCCCAGCCCCAGCCCTGCTGAGGGGCCTCAGTGGCACTGACAGAAGGGTCAGGAGGCCGTCGGGCTCTTCCCAGCTCAGAGGTTTTGATTCCTAGGTCTCCCCCGCTCCTGTGTTCCCTGTCTTTAAATGAGGCCGCCTTGGCCCCCCAGGCTGAGAACCGGGCCCTGCTCCACCCCCCGGCCTGGCGTGGCCCCCGCACCTGACGCCCTGCCCAGGTCTCGGGTCTGGGGGAGCTGTCCGCAGCCGGGACCCCTCACCTTGCCGAACTTGACGTGCTGCTGGTAGAGGATGCCGTCCTTGACGGGGACCTCCACGGGCTCCATGGCCACGGCCAGGCCACGGGGCTGCCACCGCGAAAACCTGAGGAGACTGGTGACAGGCTGGACGGGAACTCCTCAGACTTCCCCTTCTGGCCACTTCCGCTCCCTCTGTCCAGAGGCAGCTGCGGGGTGGGGGGAGGGGAGCCCCGGCTTCAGCTAAAGGGTTGAGGGGCAGCACACGTTCCTCCCGGGGGCCCTGGCTGGCCCCAGGTGCCCGCATCTGCCTGGAGGAGCCTCAGGGCCCCCGAGGGCCCGTAGCCGGGCCTGCACCTGGTCAGCTGGGCGTGAGCGTCTGACCGCAGGCTGGCTCCCCTGAGTCACGGGCTCTGACCCCTCCCCCCGTCCCACCCTGCAGCCTGCGACCTGTGTTCCCCACACCCACCTCGCCAGGACCCTCTTCTAGCCAGACCCAAAAGCTCCTGGCTTCCCCACCGAGTCCTGGCTTGAGAGTCGCCGGCCTCGCTCTGCTCTGCGGGGCTCTGCTTCGTCTGAAATCGCTCTGTTCACTGGCTGCTCCTCGTCCTCGTGGCCGCTGCCTGGCGCCTGCCTCAGTGTCTCCCCAAAAACCACTGCCTGGAGCGGGCCTGCTGTGGCCCTCTCCACCAACCCTAACCAGCCGTCTGGACCCCCCTTGCGTCCAGCCTGGGCTCCTCAGCCTGGCGCTCAGGGGCTGGTGTTCTGGCCTCCGCCTCCCCCGCCCAGCCCCTCCAAGGCACCGCCTGGGGAAGGTGGGCTGCCTCAGGGGCCCTTGGGGGACGAGTGCACGCCAGGCACCCAGCCACATGGGCTCCATACCCTAACGGTCCCAGCCACGCGAGAGCAGGTGGCATACCCCGCTGGGCCCCTGGGGATGTCACATGCTCTTTTAAAGCTGTGAGTCCTGGCCCGGGCAGGGTGGCTCACGCCTGTAATCCCAGCACTCTGGGAGGCCAAGGCGGGCGGATTGCTCAAGGTCAGGAGTTCGAAACCACCCTGAGCAAGAGCGAGACCCGTCTCTACTATAAATAGAAAGAAATTAATTGGCCAACTAATATATATATAGAAAAAATTAGCCGGGCATGGTGGCGCATGCCTGTAGTCCCAGCTACTCGGGAGGCTGAGGCAGGAGGATCGCTTGAGCCCAGAAGTTTGAGGTTGCTGTGAGCGAGGCAGATGCCATGGCACTCACTCTAGCCTGGGCAACAAAGCGAGACTCTGTCTCAAAAAAAAAAAAAAAAAAAAAAAAGCTGTGAGTCCTGCCAGGGGCCCATTTTTTGCCTCACTTTGCAGCAGCCCAGAATCGGGGCTCCCTGTGTGCATCTGAATTCTGGGACACCCGTCCTGTCATTCACTCCGGTGCCATCTCTGGAAAGAACGTGTGAGACCAGGCTGAGAAAATGCCACTCCGGAGGCCATGTATTTTGCCAGGAAATACACTTTTTGTTTTGTTTGGCGGAGATGGAGTCTCATTATGTTGCCCAAGCTGGTCTGAATCTCCTGGGCTCAAGTGATTCTCCGGCCTCCCAAGTAGCTGTGACGACATGTGTGCCACCACACCCAGCTGTGGCCAGGAAATACTTTCTAATGGCCTCCGGCACCTGACTCTGTGCCCATGGCAGCCCCGAGTGCCAGCAGCTTCAGATGCCATGTCTTTTGCATTCTCATCGCCGTTTTCAATGATGAGCAAATCAGAGTTCAGAAAAATTGCCCAAGCGCCACAAACCAAGTGACAAATATGGCTTAAGCAACTGCTGCTCCCACCAGGATACCCACGTGGCCCTTACACACAACATGCTGGCACAGAGGAACTGGAAACATAGCCTCTGCCTCTCTCTTGCCAAATGCTGACCTCCTGTTCACCTGCCCGTGGTCTTGTGACGACCATCCACATTTATCGCGGTCTGAGTTCTGTCTCTCCGCTCATCTGCAGCATCCCAGGTGGCTCTCCTGGATCCTCGCAGCCCAGCACAGCGCTGGGCAGAACAGGCGTCAGTAGGCTACATGTTGGCCTGAATGGCAGCTCTTGGCACGGCTGCCGCTCCCCAGTGTGCAGAGCTGAGGTTCTTGGGAGCCTGGGCGGCAGGCAGGAGGGCTCCCGCGGGCCCCCAGGAAAACTGAAGTTGGGCGTGACAACAGTCAGCAAGACCACCCGGACAACCAGACATTTCCCCTTGCCCACCAATGTGGTCCCTCCTTGAGCCATAAATCCAGGGCGCCCAGCAGAGAACCAAGTCCCCACGGCAGCAGCGGTGGGAGACGCAGACGCCTCGCCTCTGCGGGTGAGGCTGGCCCAGGAACAAGGGAGACAAGGCGAGACAGAGGCGCGGCCTGGCGCTAAGACAGAGGGGTTTATGCTTTAATGGCAGAAAGGGCGAAGGGGAATAAAAACGCTAATTCTGGGGTATGGGGCAGGCCCAGGCCCGGCCTGGCCGCCCCCAGGCCAGCTGGGCCGAGGATGCTGGCTTCTTGCGCGGCGGGGCTGGTGTGTGGTGTGTGTGGGGAGGTGGCTGGAGTCCCGGGGCCTGAGGCCTTTTGGCAGGACAGGAAGACAGTCGGGTCAGAAGTCCATGGAGCTGTGGGCCAGGTAGTCCTTGCGGCCGATGTTGCTGACCTGCTTGGTCTGCATAGCCTCGAGTTTGGGGCAGTCGGTGATCCGATGACCCAGGCCCCCGCAGAAGGCACAGCCGCGCTCTCCTGGGGAACGGGCGGGTGTCAGCGAGGCTGCAGGCTACACTCACACCCGGGCCTGGGCCTCCCACCAGTCCACTGGCCCACGGCAGGGACTCGCCCGCCGCGTGGTGCCCCCGCCTCCCTGCCTCCCCCGCCCACGCAGTGCCTCCCCCGCCGCAGTCACCTCCGATGTCCAGCATGGACTCGTCCCCGCAGTGCAGCACTTGTAGCACGGGCGGCACTTTCTGCTTGGCTTCCAGCAGCAGGGCTTTGAGGTCCATCAGCACCGACTCGTCTGGGGAGGCAGTGGGGAGTCCTCAGGCCCCACCCGGGCCCTGCAGCTGGACCTTGGGTGGCCACAGGCAGAGGGCCCGAGGGACAGCCGAGGTGTCGCTGGCAACAGACTCACCACAGGCCTTGTTGATGAAGGTGGTAGCGATGCCTGTGTTTCCTGAGCGCCCGGTGCGGCCAATCCGGTGCACTGCAGAGAGAGGGACGCTGCACAGGGTTCCGGGGGCCTGGCCCGGCCCCTCCTCTGCCTGGCCCACATGCCTGGCCCCCCAGTTCCTACCATAGTTCTCGATCTCCTCGGGCATGTCATAATTGATGACGTGCTGGATGGCAGGAAAGTCCAGGCCCTTGGAGGCTACGTCTGTGGCCACCAGAACATCCTTCTTGCCTTCCCGGAATGCCTCGATGGCCTTGGTTCGTTCCTCCTGGTCTGGGGAGGGCCAAGTAGGAGCCGTTAGAGCCACAGCGGAAGTTTGGGCCTGGCAAACTGGACAGGCAGGGGAAGGGACTGGGTGAGGGGCTGCCAGGGCAGCAGGGTCCATGCCAACACATGCACCACCCTGACCTTTGCCCCCATGGATGGCTACAGCCTCGACCCCCTTGAGCAGCAGGTACTCGTGGATGGCGTCCACATCTGCTTTCTTCTCCGCAAAGATGAGCACCTGTCCGGGAAGACCGACTCCAGTGAGAGGGGCCGACTCTGCCTGGGTCTTCACCCAGCCTTCCGCGGTACGCCGTCCCTCCCCGCTCCCCCTTGTCCTGGGGTCTCTGCACAGCATGGGTGGCACTCACGGGTGGGGGTGTCTTCTGCAGGCACTCGAGCAGGTACACCATCTTGGCCTCCTCCTTCACGTATTCCACCTCCTGCCACCACAGGGCCAGGTCAGGTGATCCTGAGGCTAGGTTCACCAGCCATGGCCCTGCCACAGGTCAGCCATCTCATGAGGGCCAGGAGGCCACCAGAAGCCTCTTGCAACCAATGTCTGGGCACCCTAAAAATGGCCATGGCTAAGGGCCAGGGGCTTTGAATGAAACCCCCAGTGCCCACAGGCCGATCCCCTGCTCCAGTCAGCTTCCAGGGAGCCTCACCAGACCCCGCCCTCACAGGTGAGAGACTGCCCAGCAGGAGTGCTTGCCCACCTGGATGACATCCAGGCTGGCTGCCCCAGCTCGACCCACGTTGATGGTGACAGGCTTTACGAGGGCACTCTTGGCAAAATTCTGAATCTTCTTGGGCATGGTGGCACTGAAGAGCAGGGTCTGCCGCTGGCCCTGAGGAAGGCAGGGGCTAGGGCCGAGGGCACGGAGGGCATGTGGGAGATGGGGTGTGGGGAAGCTGAGCAGCTGGGATGCAGCACCCTGGACTAGGAGCAAAGGGTGGGGCCCTCCAAAGTTCCCTGTGGTGTCACAGGGGTAAGGTGGTGCAGGGGTGCCTGGCCAGGCAGGGGGCAGGCACCTTGAAGTAGGAGAAAATGGTGCGGATGTCACCCTCGAAGCCCATGTCAATCATGCGGTCGGCCTCGTCCAGGGCCAGGTAGCGACAGATGTCTAGGCTGACCATCTTCTTCTGCAGCAGATCCATGAGGCGCCCAGGGGTGGCCACCATCATGTGTACACCACTGGGGACCAAGGAGAGTCGCTGAGGTTGGGGCTACCTGCTGTCACCTACAGGCTGGCAGGCAGCCTGCCTCTGATCTGCCCTCTGCCCTCCTTCCCGTCTTTCTCACCTGCGCCCTCCTCGCCACGTCCACCACCCTGTCCCATCTACAGTACACCTCTCTCTCGTGGAAGGTGCTGTAATCTTCTTGGCCACTGCTCAGCCCAGCACACCCTTCCCTCTTCTACTGGGTCACTCCTCCCACCCAGGACTGTCCTGAATCCCGAGATGCTTTGCTTTGCACTTCCGTAGCCCCTCTGTAAGCCTTGATGGGCTCACTCTCCTGGTACACTGACTTGCATCTTTTCTGTGCCCACACCTTCCCTGAAACTGGGAATACCTCAGAAATGGGGACGGCGCCCGGCCTGTCTGTGAGCCCAAGGCCCGATCCAGAACCTCTGGTGACGTCTGCACTGCATGT